AGGTCAAGAGATCGAGACCATCCTGGTCAACATGGTGAAACCCCATCTCTACTAAAAATACAAAAAATTAGCTGGGCATGGTGGCATGTGCCTATAATCCCAGCTACTTAGGAGGCTGAGGCAGGAGAATTGCCTGAACCCAGGAGGTGGAGGTTGCGGTGAGCCGAGCCTGGGTAACAAGAGTGAAACTGCATCTCAAAAAAAAAAAAAAAAAAAAAATGAAATGAAGAAATGGGAGCAGAGGGTCAGAAAGTTTCAGTCACTTGCTGAAGACCACACACAGCCTGTCCCTGATCTAGACTGCTGTCCCTCCTCCTCACCAACCTGTCTAGACCTACCTTTCTCAGAGGACTTCATCAAAGCCACATATCACAGGCTCAGCCCACCGCCATCCTCCATGCTATCCCATGACCATAGAACATTGGCTTGACTAGTCCCTGGAAAGGACATGACCCAGCCTCTCTGCTCCTCCTCAATCATTATTAGACCTCCAGGTTCTTCCTTGCTTTTAATGATTTTGACATCTCCTTTAAAAAAAAAAAAAAAGCAAGTCTCCAAGACCCAAAGGGTAAAGAGTAAAAACAAGAGACTTCTCAGGTGTGTCTCTCAAATATATTGTGAACAAGAGACTCATCTTTGCTACTGCTTGAGACGGATGAAGGGAGAAATGAATCCTGGGTTTCCGAGCACCAGGGCTTAACCTCGGGCTCAGTGAAGGGCCTACTTTGCCTCCACCATGTGTTTTCATCAACCCAAAAGACAGGCTCTCGCTTGGAAAGGCTGAGCCATTGTGCAGTCCTTTCATCCCTGCCTTCCTTTATTAATTCATGCAATCATTGACTCAGTTTCTCTTTTATTCATGCACTCAACTCAGCCAACACTGGGTTCTGTGTGGTGGATATAAAAAGAATGGGTTGCAATTCTGGCCACAAGGAGAAAAAGTTTAGAAGAGAGAGAGACACATCTACAAGCAGGCATGGTAGAGAATTCAAGTGCTGTGAAAGAGGGATGCTGGGGGTAGATGCAGCAGAGAGATGGCTGGCATGGAGAGCCATTTCCTAAAACAGCAACTGCCAGACATGATGGAGGTGGCCATGAGTCACTGCCTGACTGTGACCTCTCAGCATCCTGAGGCCCTCACTTTGGAGCACCCAGGAGAGATACTGACATGGGTTTTGGAGGCTGGGCATGGTGCCTCACAGCTGTAATCTCAACACTTTGGGAGGCTGAGGCGGGTGGATCATCTCAGCCTCCGAAAGTGTTGGGAGGTCCGGAGTTCGAGACCAGCCTGGCCAACATAGAGAAACCCCGTTTCTAAAAATACGAAGATTAGCTGGGTGTGCTGGCATGTGCCTGTAATTCCAGCTACACTTCAGAGGCTGAGGCAGGAGAATCGCTGGAACCCAGGAGGCAGAGTTTGCAGTGAGCCAAGACGGCACCACTGCACTTCACACCAGGCAACAGAGTGAGACTCTGTCCCTGCCCCCACCAAAAAAAAAGAGAGAAAAAAAGGACATGATTTTTGGAGAATTAGCAAAGCCTTTTCAAGTAATATGAAGGCTCAAGGAGGGTGGATAAAAAGGGGGTCATCAGGCAAAAAAAGGATAAGAGGTGGGAATCAAAGACATGGAACACAATACATTTGGGAAGCAGCAAATGGTTCGACAAGGCCAGGGTGAAAAGCAGCGGGGATAGGAGGGGAAAGCAGTAGGGCTAAAGGGGTCACTAGGCACCCAATCATGAAAGGCCTTGTGGACCGTGATCAAGAAGCTGGATTTCTTAATCATAATGAGGGTTTAAGCAGGGGAGTAACTTGATTGGGATTGCCCTTTCAGAAGGATGTGTGCCCTCTCTTTGGATGTGAAGGGAGGGTGAGGGAAAGACTGAAGACAGGGAGACCATTAGGGGTCTGTGGCAATTACCCAGAAGCCTCATGACAACAACCTGAACTGGGCAGTACCTTGGGGCTGAAGCAGTATGAAAGATGGGTTGTGGTGGTTGAAAACAGAAGATTAGGAACAGACAGTGCCATTCTTTTAAACGTGGCTCTCAATCAGTGGGCAAAGAGAACTTTAAGACAGCCCTGAAGAGGGGAAAGGCAGAGGAGCCGCTGAGACCCTTCTCTTTTCCATTCACTTCTCAGCTAAACCAGCCATGAATGGAAGTCTCCCACACAAACCAATTTCTTATAAACTCTCTCAGTCAAGAAACTCATCTATTGTGCCAGAATGTCATCTCTTCGAAGAATCCTTCCCTGCTAAATGAAGAGGCAGGTCATTCAACTATGTAGCCCATTTCTACTTTATTCTTTATAGCTCTTATCACTCCTTGACCTCATATAAACACCATGAGGGCAAGGACTTTGTCTATTCACAGATGTACACCCAGCATTCAGAGCAGCAGTTGATACATTGGAAGCACACAATCAACATTTATTGAGTGAATAAATGAGAACCTCTGTGGGTAGCTAAGAAGGGCAAGCCTTTACAAGTAATTCAAAAATCACTACCTCCACTCCTGCATCCAGGAGGCCCAACCATGAGCAATAGAATAATCAGCTGCTCTGAATCACAGCTACTCAATGTAGACTCACTGGTCTCTGGACAAATGTGTCCCATTGGCAGCTCCTGCTCTGGTTTAGCTTTGTCTTAGGGATTAAAGAGACAGATCCTAGGAGGCCAATTCCAGTCAGAGTGAAAATGGCTCAAATAGTAGAGTCTGAAACTGAACCAGGGCAGAGTCGAATCTCAGGTTCTCTCCAAAGAAGACACTAATAATAGTGCTTGGTTTGTTCATGAAAGAAAAAATGAAAACAAAATGAGCTACCACTATACACCTGCTGGAATGGCTAGAAATAAAAAGACTGATAATATTAAATGTTAGCAAGGACATAGAGACACTGGAACTCTCAGACATTGCTGGTTGGAATACAAAATGCTGCGGCCACTTTGCAAAATGACCTGGCAGTTTCATATGTCATTAAGCATTCACTCACATTTAAACAGCCCTCTAGTTGCTAGGTATTTATCCAAAATAAAACATATGTTCACAAAAAAAAACTTGTACGAGAATGCACATAGCAGCTTTATTCATAACAGTCAGAAACTCAAAAGAATCCAAATGCCCATAAGTAGGCAAATATATTTTTAATGTGGTTTATTATACAAGGTGATATTATTCAGTAGAAAAAAATGAATTATTGATACCTGCAATGATGAATAGATATAAAACATGTTAGGCAAAATGAAAAAAAAATCGCACTGCATGATTTCTTTTGTATGAAATTCTAGAAATGGTAAAATCTATAGTAACATAAAGAACAGATTGGTGATTGCCAGGGTCTGGGGATACGGGAAGGATGAACTGCAAGGACAAGCTGGGGAATTTAGGGGGTGATGGAAAGTTCCATATCTTGAGGGCAGTGTTTAAGTATACACAAATGTCAGATCACATCAAACCGTTCACTAAAAACAGGAGCCTTTATTATATGTAAATTATATTTCAATAAAGGCCATTAAAAAAAAAAACAAAAAAAAATTTTTAAAGAAAAAGGTAAAGGTATCATAATCCCAGTTTTAGTCATAAGTATGCTTGGAAAGGAGTCTGGAAAGCTTATCAGTAATAAACTCTGAGTGGTGAGCCTGTAGGATGCTATTATTCCTTCTTTATTTTTTTTTAATTTTTTCATGTTTTAGAGATCATTGCTATGCTTATAATCAGAAAAAAATTTTCTTTGTCAAATGAAACATTGCTTTGTAGGCATAAAAATAAATATTTTTCCAGGGCAAGAGCAAAATTAGTTTTATTCCACACATCTTTGAAAGCTTAAGATCACTTTCAACAGAAGTTGAATCAACTCTTTTTTGAGTTTTAACCTCCCAGAGAGACCCACACACCTTGATTGGGCCCTACCTAGCAGAGGTATACTCACTCCTTCCTCGCTAGGACTCAGGCAGAAGAAACGTAGCAGGTCCAGGTAAGACAATCCAGCACAGAAAAGTAGTAAGACTGGGCCAGCTGTGAGGCTGGAAGAAGGAACCGTGCTGCACAGAACATCCTCAGAAACTGTGAGTTCACAAGCTTTGCCATTAGAAATCCTTTAACAGAAAACCAAACACTGCATGTTTTCACTCATAAGTGGGTGTTGAACAATGAGAACACATGGACACAGGGAGGGGAACGTCATACACTGGGGTCTGTTGAGGGCTGAGGAGCTAGGAGAGGGATAGCAGGGGGTTGAGGGGTCAGGAGAGAAATAGCATTAGGAGAAATACCTAATGTAGATGACGGGGTGATGGATGCAGCAAACCACCATGGCACGTGTATACCTATGTAACAAGCCTGCATGTTCTGCACATGTACCCCAGAACTTAAAGCATAAGAAAAAATAAATAAATAAACAAAAATGTTAAAAAGAAAGAAACTCTTTCCATTCAGAACCAATCTTGTTTTAGCAAAGCCTCCTCTCCAACTTTGCCAAAAAGTTCTGATCAAGCCTGAAGCCCTCCAGCAGAACCATCCTAGGAGAACTGTAGTGCAGAAGAAAGCCATGCCCCTCAGTTACCATTAAATTTGGCCAGCATCAGTGCTCACCCAGGAGCTTTTCAAAATGCAGGTCCAGGGCACTCTAGGCCCTAGAGCTAATGGGTAAAATCTCCAGTGATAAAACCCAAGGATCTATATTTTTAAAAGCTTTTCAAGTGAATCTCATGTAGCACATGGAAGCTTCCGTGTAGATCTATGATTCTCAAACTTCAGTATAAGAATTATCTGAGGTTCTTGTTAAAAACACAGATTCCCAGGCCACACTCTGGTGGATTCTGATTCTGTATGTCTTAGGGAGGGCCTCGGAATCTCCAGTTTTAACAAGCCCCCAGGTGATTCCAATGCAGGTGATCCAAAAATCACATTTCAAAAACCCTAATGCAGATGCCAGAATAAATTTTTCTAACCCAGTCCTCAGCAGGGAGGTCAAGGAAGAGGCAAGAGAACTAATTAGGTTATGCCAGCATGCTCAAATTTATTAAGAGGCTCACAAAGAAGGTGGGCTCTTTTGCATCTCAAAGGCAGCAGAAAGCCAGGGCAGGGGATCGGTCCCAAAGACACCTTGGAGAAGAGGATGCCTTATAGTACAAGAGAGTGAACTTCATGTGAATAAATAAAGTCATGGGGATTCACCCTTGAGCTTAGGGATCACTTTGTTGTGACCCAGTTTTAACGTCTCATCAGAGTATGCCTTTTCTTCTCAGTACCTTGAAAGACCAGGGCAGGCATTGGAGAACAAGCCCTCCTCTACAAATCACACAAAAGGCAAGACATGGTCTTGGGGGCATGGAAGGTTCTGGACACAAGGGGCTGTCCCCCTGGAGCAGATGGAGGCTTTTGATGGGACCGCATCAGTGGTGGAGGGAGAGGTCTTCATTTTGTGTCGCATACAGGTGTGGGCTGGCAGCACACAGGTGCACAGCACCCGCAGCAGCTGGACCCACAGCAACTGGACCCGCAGCAGCCACCTCCACAGCCTCCGCAGCCTCCACAGCCTCCACCCCCGCAGCCAGATCCACAGCAGGACGATCCACAGCAGCCACCCCCGCAGCCAGAGCCCCCGCAGCCAGAGCCCCCACAGCCACAGCAGGAGCCGCAACAGCCGCAGCAGGCCGGCTGACAGCAGCACTCTTCACAGCAGTTTTGCTCCTGAGTGCAGCAGGTGAAGCAGTCCCCAGGGCAGCACCCCATGATCCCAGCCGGTCAGCTCTCAGGTCAGTAACGCAGCCAGAGTTCCCCAAGACTGACAGAGGCCAGCCAGCTGCAGCTTTTATATCCCCTCACCCACGCAGGAGGGACAGGATGCTTTCTTTGTTATTATTTATGCCAGTTTCCATAAGACCAGCTCATTAACTGGCTGTTTATTTTCCAGCCCTGAGTACCTCAACTCATAAAAATGCCCCACTCCTGCCAACTGCCGTTTGTCCAGAGGGTAAAAATACATCTTCGACAAGCACCTGTCATCATGGCCAAGCATCTGCCAGCTGTCATTAGCCCAGGTTGAAGATGGGAGGAGGAAGCCGGCCACGTGCTCTGGCTCCGGAATGAGGGGCTCACCTCCTGCATCTTCACAGGTTGGCAGTGGACCCCATCTTCTGTGGATGCTAGTCCTGGAAAAGCAGACCGGCGATAACCAAATGCCCTGTTCCTTCCGACACCAGTGGAGGCTGCTGAGAAAGCCTGGTCACGTGGCTCCTCCCAGGTTCAAATGGAATCCTCATCCTGGCCCATGCGAGCCAGGCAAATGTTTGTGTCTGTGTGTGGTATGGGGAGTGTGCCACACGTTAGGCTTGGCCCGTGATCATCAATCATGAGTAATAACTGCCCTGTAAAATGGAGAGAGACTCATGGTAAAACTGCAAGAAGCCGGTGAGGTACGGTCTCTCTCTGCTGCATGGTGAGCTGAATACTCACACTTCTCTCTAAATAAGTGGGAAGAACCGAGGTCAGAACCCTCTACCCATCCCCACTCCAGCCCCAGGCCTTTCCTTGACAGGGCAAGGAAAACATGCAGGAGGAGGAAGAAGAGGAGAAAAAGAGGAAGAAAAGAAGGAAGCAAGCAGGAAGGAGATCAGTAAATATCCAAAGTGCTGTATTAAAATGAGAATGTTAGTCACTTTTTTAAAAGAGCTCCAACCTTATAGACCATCTGGCAGAAGGAGAAATTAGAATACAAAATACCCAGAGTGTCATCCTAGGAATAAAATTCCTTTGGAAGAAGCCTAAGACCCACATATGGTTTAGATCCATGTGTAAATTCTGAGATGGGTCAAAATTTCTGTCTCCATGTGTGGCTTTGGTACCTTGTCACCCTCTTGGAGTGCCCATGGCACCACTGGAGCTGGAATCCAACATCTATTCGGGGTAGAGGACAGGAGATGGGGTGGGCGGGAATGGAAGGAGGGATGGGAGTGAGAATCTGGATCAGGGGACCCGATCCTTCCCTTTTCATTTCCCTTTCTTTTTCAGACGGTCTAGAAGTAAGGCAGCCTCTAAGGGCTGGAAGGACCAAGGACAGGGTCAAGGTTGGGAGGGTGAATGATGAATGGGTTACTTGGATCTGATGTGATACTCAGTATTTCACAGGAAGTGGAATTTTAGAGCTGGGAGGAACCCCTGAAACATTTTGTCCAGGGTTTCACGACAGAACTGCCTAAAAGGGGGCCTTTTGAAAAATACAGATTCCCAAACTGTATCCCAGTCCTTATGATAAATCAGAGTATGTGCTTATGAGAGCTTGAGAAGCTACATATTTTAAACTTTCTCGGGTAACTCGGGTTACATTAGGAAACACTGATAGAATCTAACCCCGTTATGACCATTGCCCCAAGCTCTTGTGTTTTACGAAAGATGATACCAAGGTCCAGAGACGACACATCCATGGTAGATTGGACCCATGACCCAGATATTCTCCCTCCTGGTCCAGTGTTTCTTCCACCATGCCACATCCACAGATGGGCACCTCTGGGTGAGCAAAATACAGCAATGTCTATGGCAGATGCACCTTTTTTTTTTTCTGAGACGGAGTCTCATTCTGTCCCCCAGGTTGGAATGCAATGGCTTGATCTTGGCTCACTACAACCTCCACCTCCTGGGCTCAAATGATTCTCCTGCCTCAACCTCTTGAGTAGCTGGAATTACAGGCACACACCATCACACCCAGCTAATTTTTATATATTTAGTAGAGACAGAGTTTCGCCATGTTGACAGGCCGATCTGGAACTCCTGACCTCAGGTGATCCACCCCTCTCGGCCTCCCAAAGTGCTGGGACTACAGGCATGAGCCACCATGCCCAGCTGACAGGTCCTGTTACATATTTATTTATTTTAATAAGAGGTCAAGCATTCCCAGGGTAAAAGGTACAAAAGATAGAAAGTTTAGTTCATCTTCCAATGTCTCACCATTCAGTTCTCCTGCCTCTCATCCACCCCCTCACTGTTCCCATAATTACTTAACCCCTTTGTACCTGAATTTCTTCATCTATGAAATAGAAATTAAAATAATAATAGTGCCAGTTTCATAGGGTCGTTTTGATTAAATGAGTGATATAAATGTATACATATTGAACACTTGGTTGATTGAACAACTTGGAAAATATAAATTATCAAACTTTTATATTTAACAATTTATATACTCACAAGCATTTCCTCAGATTAAATACAACATTCAGTGTACAGCTCAAATTATACACTATGATTTCAATTGTGTGAAGGTACATGTCATGATGAGGACTTGAAGTATTCACTGGTGTTATTTTCCTTCTGCAATTTCTTTCACTGTTGGTCTTTCCACATAAATTGGGCAACAGTGGGGACTTTTTATATTCACTGCCCCTAGGTTAGAGTTATTACTATAGAAATACAGAGAGAATGACTTAGGTCAATGCTTAGCTTATGCAACTCAAAGTAGACTTTTGTAGTGCAGGAGAGTGAGTGGTCAGATGACTGGGTCCATCCAGCCTCCTGAATGGGGTGATGGGAGGGTGCAGAACTTGTGGACTGGAGATCAAAGAGAAATCCAGTGTCTTAGTTGATGACATGAGAGGGATGATTGGGCCAAGAATAAGAGAGGATCACGTATATTTCAGCAGATGCCCACTATGAACCTACTGCCAGCCTCTTGAAGGCTATGAAATTTCCATTGCATTCAAACATAACACCCTTCGAAGCTCAGACACCACTTCCAGGTGGAGGTACAGAGGGAGAAATCCTGAATGATTTCTGAGTTTACACAGAACTGACTTTTATTTATTCCCCCGTAAGCTGGAATGAGGGTTTGAAGTAAGTTTAGACAGTCTCAGAGAAAAATAAAGTTATATATTTTTAACATATCTCAGAACATGAATTTTGAAATTTGTAACTAATCTGTTATTATATTTGTATATATCTGTATGGATATTTATCTACATTAATATCAATATTTACATGCAGATCTTTAGAAAAAACACTAAAAGGAAAACTAAAATATTAGCACTAAATATATTTATTGTGGAATGATAGATGATTTTTATTTTCTTCTCATTTTTGCATTTTTCAGAAATTTGCAGTGTGTAGGTATGAAATTTATAATGTAAATATTTTATTATTATTATAATTATGTGAATACAGTGTCAAAGGCAAATGACAACCTGGAAACAATATATGTAACTCATAATATAGACAAAGCTTGCTTTCATTTTCTATTTAACAAAGGATTTCCATCAATCAAAGAGAAAGACCAGCAACCCAATAGAGAAATTGACAATGGAGATGAAGAGATAATTCATGGAAGAGGGAAGATGAATAACATTTGAGCATATGAAATATTGCTTAGTTGCATTCATAATAACTGAAAATTAGATTAAAACTATTCCAATATCCTATCTGTTATCAGATTTGAAAGGTCATACCCCTTGATAACACATTGTGTAATAAGGAATGAAGAGACAGATCGTCTCACACATTGCTGATAGGAGTGGAAATTGGTACAACCTTTATGGCAATATCCAGCAAAATTACCAATGCAAAAACTAATTGATCCAGTAATTTATATTCTAAGAGTTTATGACAGGGATGTATCAAGATATATGTAAAATGATACAAGTATACAGTATCTATTCCAACATGGCTACAGATTCAACACCATCAAACTACCAACATCATTTTTCACAGAATTTGAAAAAACTATTCTAAATTTCATATGGAACCAGAAAAAATCCCAGATAGCCAATGCAGTCCTAAGCAGAAAAAAAACAAAGTGGAAGGCATTACCATCACATTACCCAACTTCAAACTATACTATAAGGCTACAGTAACCAAAACAGCATGGTACTGGTACAAAAACAGACACATACACCAATGGAACAGAATAGATAACCCAGAAATAAAGCTGCTTAACTACAGCCATCTGATCTTTGACAAAATTAATAAAAATAAGCAGTGGGAAAGAACTCCCTAACCAATAAAATGGTGCAATCCCATCACTTGGTGTATTAGTCTATTCTTGCATTGCTATAAAGAAATGCCTGAGACTGGGTAATTGAGAAATAAAAGAGGATTAATTGGCTCACACTTTCATAGGCTACACAGGAAGCATGATGGAGGCATCTTCTTGAATTCTGGGGAGCTCTCAGAAAACTTACAATCATGGCAGAAGGTAAAAGGGGAGGTAGCACTTCACATGGCTGGAGCAGAAGGGAGAGAGAGAGTGCGGAGGTGCTATACACTTTTAGATGACTACATCTCACAAGAACTCACTTACTATGGCAACCAACCGGGCTGGTGCTAAACCAGTTGTGAGAAGTAACCCTCGTGATCCAATCACTTCCCACCAGGACCCACCTCCAACACTGGGAATTACAACTGAATATGAGATTTGGGCAGGAACACAAATCCAAATCATATCACTGGATATACATCCAAAAGAAAATAAATTGTTCCACCAATTATATGCACTTATAAGTTCATGGCAGCACTGTTCACTATAGCAAAGACATAGAATCAGCCTAAATGCCCATCAGCAGTGAACTGTATAAGGAAAATGTGGCACATATACACCATGGCCGTACTACCTGGCCTTAAATTATTTCCTTTGCAGCAACATGGATGCAGCTGCATTGAGGCCATTATCCTAAGTGAATTAATGCAAGAACAGAAAACCAAATACCATGTGTTCTCACTTATAAGTGGGAGCTAAACAGTGGCTGCACACAGATGTAAACAACAGACACTAGGGACTATGAGAGGGGAAAGGGAGGGAGTGGGGCAAGGGTAGAAAAACTAACTATTGGTCACTACCTGGATGATGGGATCAATCATCCTGTGATAAACTAACTTGTGTTAGCCTAACTGGCTCCATCTCAGCAGTAAGCTCCAGCCTAGCTTCTCCCTCCCTGCCACAGCCCCCACAGGTGCATAGCCGGGTCGTGCTGCCCTTAGAAGCCTTGAAGCTTTAAAGTTTGAAGCATACGATTCTTAGCACCTGTAACCACTGTAACCACGTCCTGCTTGGCCAGTCTACCTGCTCTTGTGAATACCCTCCTTGGTCATTGATTGTATGGAAAGTTCCCCCTGCTACCTACCTTGATGATTGTATGGAAATACCCTTAGCAACCAACAATCCTGGGAACCTCCTGCCCCCTGGTTACCAGCTTCCTTATCTAACCTGTTTTTTGTGCTTCTGTAAAATTCAGCTTCTGCTAGGTACCCTCTCCCCTACCTAAATCAAGGTATAAAAGATTATAAAAGATGATGAAACCCCTTCCTCAGGGCTGAGAGAATTTTGAGCATTAGCCGTCTCTCTTCCCGGCAAA